GTTCACAAGTGAGATCCTTTTGAGGGATTAATAAGCATCTTAACCTTAGGAATTGTTTTGGAACAAAGTTGAAACGCATCGGTTCTCTCATCCCCTGACCAGCTTACCAATTAAAGAGCATTCGAATTTCGCAAACACGGTAATTGTATTACACAGCAAACTATTCGACGGTTAGCTGTATGTCTTTTGTTCAGTTCCAAGAAGCCCTGCTTGGGCTTCACGGGTCAGGTGGATATCCCAAAATAAGTGTTTTTGCTTCTGATGGCATGTTGCGTGGGGTCAACAACACCCATGGGAAGTGTTGCCGCTGCAGAGTTCATCCGTCGCATGCATGCTTCCGAGATGTGATAGAGTGTGCAGGCGGCGCCAGATGTGCGTGGTTTTTCATTCGAAAAGTGTAAACTGACTGGCAATATTCCGCGTCTTCTGGCCTCGGTGTTGATACGTTTACTGAAATTTTTTTCTGTGAAATTTCGACGGACAAGCTGGTCGAGTTCATCTTCTTTTTTCGAAGGCTTGATAACGTCGGTATCGCGCCTGTCTGTCAATAGAAGAAGATGATAAGCCGTACGATCGTCTTTGCAAACTCAGCAACATGTATTTGGCGACGAAAACATCATTTTTCAGGGATGCTGTCTCTGCTTTTTGCGTGCAACAGAGAGCATTTCTAGAAATTGATGTGTCATTGTTTTTAAAACCTTTCGTTCCGAGCGGTACTTCATTTGTAACTGTCTTGCAGGGACTAATGTTTTCAGTCAAAATGTGTTTTTATTGCTTTACGGTTTTATTAGTAGTTTTGAGACTCGCCCAAAGTTTTGTATTTCCATTCTCTGAGAAAGATCTAGAAACGTGCGAGTGAAAATGGGAGGGCCGTGATTATGAAGGATCTTGAATCTCAATCTGTTCTCATTTATAAAGTACATCCTGTATTTCCATGAAATCTTGACAGACTTAGTTGGTGATCACATAGTAAGGAGTGTCGCTCTTCTTATTGCAAATATAATTCACCTTCATTTGAAGCCTAGGTATGCATAGACTAATCCATCGAATTTACTGTAAAAATGTTTTATTTCTGGTTTTCTCACTTCATTTTGCAACTTTATTACCCATTATTCAATAAACGGCTGGCAATTGATCAATTGGGAAACTGACAGAGTACGTTGTATGTATATAAATGAGCGAAGAAAAAAAAAACAGGCCAGCGATGTTGACATATGGTAAGATTACAGCGAATGGGTAGACGTTTGCAATTCCTCTCCCATGAATGCTCCATAAAACTGGATGGTGTCCTCAACCGTACTGTTTTTGCGTTGCCTCGCTATCTAATAGAGGGCTTGCGACAACTTTTTGTATGTGGTGCTTCTTCGCGTCGAGAAAGTTTGGTTGGGAAGCATGCTTTTTGACTTTGGCAACGAGTACTGTAAATACTTTTGGTTCAGTATGGGGAGCAATTAGCTCCATAAACGAGTGCAAAACACTTGAAGCTGTTGTTAATACCTCAAGAAGTGACCCCATCACAATAACATCGACTTTTCAAGTCTTGTTGAACGTGTTATTTGCTCGTCACGAGTGTTTTCGTTGTTTCTCCATTCTCCCCATCCCTATCACTGCACTTTGACGACGACAGTTAAATAAATCTAGGAAAGCGGCGCGATGTGATCAGTAATTGGTACCACTCTGATACTGAACGCAGGTGGAGTTGATGTTTGCGTTCTTTACCGTAGTGCCTTTCAGTCATTTATCAGTAACCCAGGCCCAGGCTAGTCGCCTAGTGCCTTTGCTGTTGCCGCCGCCGCTGCTACTACTCACCGTGATATTTCTTCCGATAGTGGGCGCTCGTAGCGCCAGTCAATAAAGCTTTTATGACTCTTCAACGTGCGCTCCTGACTCCAGAAACGAAAGAGATTGATTTTTTGTTTTCACCACTTCGTGGCACTTGACGACTTGTTAATTCCTTTTCTCTCACCAATGGCTTTCTTTGCTTTATTTATCGTTTTCCGAAAAATTCGCTGTTTTCGTGGCAGTGTTTGGTTTTTCCTGGCCTCTATTTTGCCCGGTTTATGCTGATTCAAATCATCAATTTGAAATCGGATTTTTGGTATGAATATGGCCATTGTCTGCGGTTGATGTGGGGTTGCTTATTCTGCTTTCGATAGCATCGATTATTCACTGAGGCTTGCTGATCCGCGCTCACAGCTCCGGTTTTCCTCGTTTTCAACGTGAATTTCCATATGGCATGTACAGTGCCGCATAAAATGCTGAAACTGGCGAAATTTTCACCCCCTCTGCCTCTTGCCTTTAGTTCCGCAAGAACATCTATATTTGATGTGCAGCTGTGTTTATGAGCTCGCTCATACTTATAATGTTCTGTAAAACGGCGCTCTCAGTGGAGCGTTCTGTCTAGTTTGAACTTTGGGCTATTAGAATGTTCAGGTTTGAAATACGTTCCTTACAGTGGTTGGTTTTAGTCACATTAGAATCATGGAGCTGTGTCTAAACATCATATTTGTAAAATGATTAGATCAACCCGTGAGTTCTTTACATGAAGTGCATGATGCGTTTTGTTCCTATAATACTTCTCTTCTCTGTTTTTCGTTTCTACTTGGCTCAAATTGGTTTTCTCACGCTTCGGATGTTTATTTTATTCATGAATTCATTGTATTGTGTTACTTTGCAGAGCGAATGGGTAAGGACGGAGACCCCGGGGGCCAAGCGATGAGTCCGAAAGATCCAAAAATGCAAGCAGCCAAAGTGCGATTGCTTGATGGAACATACAAGGACTTCAGTTTACATGTGAGTGGTCTTTTGGGCTGTTGGTTCAATTTTTTCATTTCTTCGCTGTTTGTGGGCCAAATCGAAAGACCTGCAATAGCTGTTTCACCGAGTTGACGGACGGTCTTCACTTTTATCTGAGCGACATCTGGTGAACTCTCCATTAATCACGTCAAACTGTGAGCTGGCAACACATGGCTTCAGCAGTGTTTTGCTCGGACTACTGTACGCATTACGGTCCCTTTGTGAGGGTTGTTATTGCATTCCGCAGGACTATGAAAATGGTGGCGTGAATTCCAAAGTAGCAGTTGATCGATAGATTATAGTTAGGATCAGGAGAGTGGCGTGTAGGCAAATGACTACCGACAGCTTGATGAAAACAAGGTTGTAAATACCTTTAACTTCCCTCCATCGCGCCATCAACGCGGTGGGAATGTGAAGAGGTGCCTGAATGTGGAACGGTTGTTTTGGGATGCTGATCACCTTTTTAGCGTCCGGCAGCTACATTCAAAGTTGTCCTGTGTAACATCGCAAATTTAAAGCGTAATGTTGTATGGTAGAAAGACATAAATCATGAGGTTTCGCAGGATTGGCAAGTTTAGATCGTGTCCACATCCAACTTATTTAGAAAATAGAATCAATTGCATGCGTATTTGAATTGAACAATAACCTGTAAAGTCTGTTCGACTCCATGAGTTCCACACCGAAACAACCCAGTTAGTCCCGCTGACACCCAAAGATTCGAATTCTGGCTTGGACGTTTTTGCATACTCAGAATCATTAGTAGAAATCGCCTGTTATTCCGCACCGTCTCCGTCAGTTGTTAAAAAAGAACATGCAAACATCATTGAGAAGGAACTGTTCGCATGAACTGCTCATTGGCATTCCATAAAGTTTGCATTGTTAGTTTTCTCCACGTTTCCGCTGAAACTCCACAATTTTCCGACTAAGGATTGACAAGTTTGAAGCGGCAATTTTTTAATGGCGAAATTGTAGAGAGCCGCTATATTGAGGTTCGGCTCGACATTTGAACCCGATCAGCTCTAACGATTCATTTGGGTAGCATACATGCTTGGAATATCAAAGGTCCTGGCATCTGTAATTAGAAATTCAGGCAGGCCTATTAGGAAGAAAAAGATCTGTGTCTTGATATCGGCAGTTAAAATTTTGGGAACGTCATTTTTTCGGAAGGTGCACATTATAGTGCTTCCATATTCTGTAGAAATCGATTGCGTATAAATCTAGAAGTGGCCCAACTGGTTAGCTTCATCTGGTCTCTCCTTCTGTTTTGAACGAGTAACTGTTTTTGAAGAGTGATTTACCAAATCTTTGTTCACTATACTTAATAACGAATAGTTTTCCAAAAGAGCTTCAGATCCTGGTTCGCATGCCAAGCTTTTTTGACGTAACGTGTCGCGTTCGCCAACGCTTCATTTGTACTTTTTGAAAACCATGCTATTCATTCCTCTGCTAGTGGATGGGAAGAGCAGTGACATCAAATCCTATAATTCAGGGCGGATTGGAAAATAGTCATTTATCACCCGTTTTTTCTCAAAGAGTGCATTGGGTTCCGATAGGGTTACGACGCATAAAGAACTAGAGTTATAATTCGCCGGCACTCTGACAAAAACTTTGAAAGGTCTCACTACTATTCAAGTCGTCAAGTCAAAGCTCCTTTTTAATTGCCGAGCGTGGCGACTTATCTTGACCGTTCCAAATTTTTAATGATTAACTGGCTGTGTCATCGACTTGTCCAAATCGGGCTAAGTAACTCTACAGTAGTTGTTGAAAGTTTGTAGTATTTTGTTTTGTGCACCTGGACAAGTTCTAAGTGATTGCTTGTTTCAGCGAGGCTCAGATGGAGAAGCGCTCTTTGCGCTAGTGAGTGCCGATCTGTCTATCGAGGAGCGCGAGTATTTCTCTCTCTGTTTTTACGACACAGAGGGAACACGAAATTGGCTATACAACGACAAGAAAATACTCAGGCAGCTCAAAGGTGACAAATGTTGATCGATTCTGAATTACATATTAAATTTTATTTATTTCAATCTCCTTTCAAGTTTTGGGAGCGGTAGATCTCAAGCGGGACCTGAGCCATTACTATGGACTAATTTGATGTTCCATTTGTTTTATATATACGAGTTGTGAAAGCAGAGATCACAATTCAAATGACTCGAATATGCATGATAAAACTGCTGGCGAAACTATAACTCAGAATGCTCTCAAAATATCGTTCTTCTGTCAACTTCATCCGCGGAATAGCCCTTTCTTTAACAATGTGCTTCCTTTACCTTTCTCATTATCAGAACCTGTCACTGTCTTCCTTATATCTAGGTGACATGGAAATCGTGATCATTTATTATTGAGCATCGAAGTTAGATAGGGAACCCAGGTCTCGCTGTCTCGCTGATGCGCGTTTATGCTGGACCTATTTTGTCGGGGTGTCTACTTGCATCAAAGACAAATCTACATAAACCTGTTGTGGTTAGGTGGTTACGTGCTAAACGACTGTCAACATTGATATCCTTGCTCATTCCACATCATTTGTAATTTACTTACAATGAGGCTGGAGTTGCACGCTCCTCCAATAATATGTTCATTTCAGGCCTTCCGTGGGAGTTCTGTTACGAGGTCAAATTCTATCCGACCGCGCCATCTTCACTTATTGACGATCATGCACGGTATAACCTATTCCTCCAGCTACGAAATGACGTGTGCAGTGGGCGGTACGTTCTCGCTTCTCTTTTTTTGCAACTTGGTCGTGTTAGCGGAGATATTCATTAAGGTTTGTTAAGAAATGCTATTACAGACTGCCAGCAACAATTGATACACATGCTACATTAGGCGCTCTGGTCGCACAGGCGCAATATGGTGATGCTAAGCCGACCCCGGATTACGAAGAATATTTGCGAACGACAAAATTTGCTCCGCAAAACAGTGAACAGCTTCTCCAAATGATAGCGCAGAAGCATAAGGAGCATAAGTTTGTTATTTTTTATTCAAAAAGCACCTAACTTCATTATTGATAGCTACCATAATGGTTCCCATTCTTTGTGCGAACTTATGCTATGTAGCTGGTATTTCAGGGGTTTGACGCCAGCTGAGGCGGAAAATTTATATTTGGACACTTGTAAGCAGCAAACTATGTATGGAATATTTGTTTTCAATGCGAAGGTAGCATTTGATTCATATATTATTATGTTTCTTAAGATCGATACACTTGAATTAATTTCATTTATAAGTAGTACTTTTTCAGGACAGTAAGAATGTCCCAGTTGGTATTGGAATCTGTGCACATGGTATTTATATCTATAAAGACCAGATTCGTGTGAATAGATTCCCATGGCAGGGCATAATCAAAATCAGCTACCGTAAAAATCAGTTTGCCATAAAGCTGAAGGCCGGGGAGGTGAGTGCACCCTAGCCGACTCTACATAGTGTGATACTAGTTTGCCTAGACTCATTCTTTGTTGATAGTTTTCTTAGAAGAGAATTTAGATTGACAAAAAGGAAGCGACTGTTGTCTACAAAGTTTCTGATTATGCGCATGCTAAACGTATATGGAAGACTGCAGTTGAACATCACACTTTCTTCAGGTCGGTTATTTTTACTTCCTGAACAGAATGAAAGTTGTGATCATTACAAGTTATGATTTTGTAGGCTTATTCAACCAGACGAAAAACCGAAGTCATCCCTATTCCGATGGGGATCAGCTCGTTTCCGTTACCAGGGGCGCACCCAGTTCCAAACTAAGATGGCTTCACAAATGTTCGACAAACCGTCAAATGTGACTGTGCAGCGTACGAGTAGCGCTCGCCTCACACATTCTCTTGATAACGGTAGGCTTACGGAGAATTGCTGCATTTAAAAATTATTGTGCACTGCGCTCTTCTTTTTCAAAGTGCGTTTCTTTTTATTTGTCAAATCAGTCGTTATTCGGTTATTTGATCATATAAAGGTGTCGGTAGTTTCAGTTGCAAAAGAGCAAGTTGGCAGCGATCATGTCTCGCCATTACACTACGCGGATAATGAATTGGGATCGCGAGAGGTGCGGGTTATTTTTAGCAATCTTTTTTGTCTTCAAGTAAAACTAACGATTGCTATGACAGTCATGTCCGTATCTTTGCCTAAATCTTTACTGACATAATTATAAAAAAAAACTTCAAAATAATTTCCCATAGACCATGGAATCGAGATCTGTCGTACTAGTTGAGAGCAACTAAGTGAACGTAGAACGTAACGCTAGAAGTAAGAAAAAAAAACCTGAAAAGCGCAGTCTCTAAAATCGCAGAAAGCTCCTGTCAGCTGGATAGGAACATGGTTGGCGCACCATTAAACTCATTTCGCGGATATGGTCAGTATCAAGAAGGGTGTGCAGCTGTTGCTGCAGATAGAGACATTGAAATAGTTTAGGCAACGAAACGGACTCAATGTTATTTAAGTTACTGCTCATCTCGAGTTTTTAGTTAGTTTGCAGTCGCTTCGTTAGCACAAAAATTGTTAGAAAGCGAGCAGTGCAGCTTTTCTAATGTCCGCACTTGCGTTTAGTGTTTATTTCTCTTCCCTTTCTGCTCGAGATTGAGAGTGTTTAGTAAGTGTAAGCAAGCTGTAGATGCGGTTTCCCTGGGTCCAAGTAACTTCTTTACAAACGGTGTCAGTAAATCATCTGAGATTCGGTAGTTTTCTTTCTGTAAGATCTATCGTCTTTCTTGTGTCATCAAATATTACAGCTAATCAATTTGCAGCCAATGGCGTCTCCCGCCGTGACTTACGAGGTTTCTGGTCAAAGCGAAAAGCGAAAGCTCAACGACAAGGTGGGTAACGGTCTGCCATCTGATGATGATGATGAGCTTGTCTACACGCCTGTTGAATCGCCGTCATCTGCTGCTTATTATCTCTCAGAACGTTCATCTGCCTATACACCCACCTCAAATGAATTTGGCCGTTCACAACAAATGAGACTCACCCCTTTATATTCTTGGAAGATTTCTGAAAGTGCTTCCACTTCGGCTGATCGTGATCGGTATTCGTACAGTGAAGCAGCTGGCTCACATTCTTTGCCAAACCGTTCCAGTCAGTTCTCAACCTCGTTCGTTGATTCCACAGAAAGGCGTGCTGATATTGAGTCACTTCCTATCAATGATACTGTACAAGTCTACCATGCGGGACATTATCAACGCCTGGATAGGCAACCACGTCGGCAACAACGAAATTTTGATCTTAATAATCAGCGCATTAATGGCGTTACATCTGTACGAAGGTTGGGACCAGATGAGGAGATGGATCTACATCCGATTCGCTATTTTGTCAATGTTCAGCATTCGGGATCTAGCCACATACCGCGTGTGAGCAGAATTCGGCATCCAGGACGAGAAGAAGTTGGCGCTCCGAATCTATCCAACTACAAATTTAGTAGCGGCTCTTATTCTCCAGTTGTACGGCTTGAACCTGGTCACGAACTTCCACCACATAACATTAGACAGTATTCTGCTGTTTATCATCCCGGAAGCTCCCAAATTGTCTTATCGAAGCAGACTGATGACGAGGTTCCGCCTGTGCGCCTGATCACGAGAGTCCTACCCACCTCGTTACAACGTGGTCATCAGCAGGCACTAATAGATGGAATTAGTGCCCAGAATTCGTTAACTAGCGGACCGGTATCTGAAAAAAGTGAAGGATTAGATCGCGTAGCGCAGTTTTCCACTCCATCTACGTCGATTACAGGTAGAACGACTGATTCATCACGCAAAAAAGTTCTCACCAACTCGGAACCCACTCAACAGCGCGCATATGTCTTTGGAAGATGGCGTCATGATGGTGACGAAGAGGTTGTTGAGAAGGACCGTGTCCGACCTGAAACGTATGGCATAGCGTCTACGTCATATAAAGGTCCTCTTGAATCCACTACACGTCATTCTGACTTGCCGACCGCACCCCTGCGGGATCACGCACAAGTGTACCATCACGGGCAGTCATGGGATGTATCCAAGGGAGCTAAAACTCCTACTGTTGCCACAACTGAAATCGAGCATGGCACGGGAAAGAAGGCTGTTCTGCATTTGAAAGGTACTCCTGTGAAGGATGTGCCGTCGCCGGCTGCCGAAGAGGAAACACCCAAAGTTCGATTGATAGCTCGAGTGCCACACAGCACATCGGAGGATGAGACAGACAGTTCTAAAGCAAGGAAAGACCATGAATCTTCTGGACTGTTCTCTTTCTGGAAATCGGGTGGCCGTAAACATCGTGGGGACTCGCAGGAGGGTTCTGAATATCCTCACCCTGGCAAATATACTGGTCCATTAGACGATGTGAATCGTCAGAAAGATATCGAGCAGATTCCGTTCAAGGCACCTGCTCATGTGGACTATAAACCAGCTTCGACCACCACTTCGGAACCCGCTCAACAGCGCGCATATGTCTTTGGAAGATGGCGTCATGATGGTGACGAAGAGGTTGTTGAGAAGGACCGTGTCCGACCTGAAACGTATGGCATAGCGTCTACGTCATATAAAGGTCCTCTTGAATCCACTACACGTCATTCTGACTTGCCGACCGCACCCCTGCGGGATCACGCACAAGTGTACCATCACGGGCAGTCATGGGATGTATCCAAGGGAGCTAAAACTCCTACTGTTGCCACAACTGAAATCGAGCATGGCACGGGAAAGAAGGCTGTTCTGCATTTGAAAGGTACTCCTGTGAAGGATGTGCCGTCGCCGGCTGCCGAAGAGGAAACACCCAAAGTTCGATTGATAGCTCGAGTGCCACACAGCACATCGGAGGATGAGACAGACAGTTCTAAAGCAAGGAAAGACCATGAATCTTCTGGACTGTTCTCTTTCTGGAAATCGGGTGGCCGTAAACATCGTGGGGACTCGCAGGAGGGTTCTGAATATCCTCACCCTGGCAAATATACTGGTCCATTAGACGATGTGAATCGTCAGAAAGATATCGAGCAGATTCCGTTCAAGGCACCTGCTCATGTGGACTATAAACCAGCTTCGACCACCACTTCGGAACCCGCTCAACAGCGCGCATATGTCTTTGGAAGATGGCGTCATGATGGTGACGAAGAGGTTGTTGAGAAGGACCGTGTCCGACCTGAAACGTATGGCATAGCGTCTACGTCATATAAAGGTCCTCTTGAATCCACTACACGTCATTCTGACTTGCCGACCGCACCCCTGCGGGATCACGCACAAGTGTACCATCACGGGCAGTCATGGGATGTATCCAAGGGAGCTAAAACTCCTACTGTTGCCACAACTGAAATCGAGCATGGCACGGGAAAGAAGGCTGTTCTGCATTTGAAAGGTACTCCTGTGAAGGATGTGCCGTCGCCGGCTGCCGAAGAGGAAACACCCAAAGTTCGATTGATAGCTCGAGTGCCACACAGCACATCGGAGGATGAGACAGACAGTTCTAAAGCAAGGAAAGACCATGAATCTTCTGGACTGTTCTCTTTCTGGAAATCGGGTGGCCGTAAACATCGTGGGGACTCGCAGGAGGGTTCTGAATATCCTCACCCTGGCAAATATACTGGTCCATTAGACGATGTGAATCGTCAGAAAGATATCGAGCAGATTCCGTTCAAGGCACCTGCTCATGTGGACTATAAACCAGCTTCGACCACCACTTCGGAACCCGCTCAACAGCGCGCATATGTCTTTGGAAGATGGCGTCATGATGGTGACGAAGAGGTTGTTGAGAAGGACCGTGTCCGACCTGAAACGTATGGCATAGCGTCTACGTCATATAAAGGTCCTCTTGAATCCACTACACGTCATTCTGACTTGCCGACCGCACCCCTGCGGGATCACGCACAAGTGTACCATCACGGGCAGTCATGGGATGTATCCAAGGGAGCTAAAACTCCTACTGTTGCCACAACTGAAATCGAGCATGGCACGGGAAAGAAGGCTGTTCTGCATTTGAAAGGTACTCCTGTGAAGGATGTGCCGTCGCCGGCTGCCGAAGAGGAAACACCCAAAGTTCGATTGATAGCTCGAGTGCCACACAGCACATCGGAGGATGAGACAGACAGTTCTAAAGCAAGGAAAGACCATGAATCTTCTGGACTGTTCTCTTTCTGGAAATCGGGTGGCCGTAAACATCGTGGGGACTCGCAGGAGGGTTCTGAATATCCTCACCCTGGCAAATATACTGGTCCATTAGACGATGTGAATCGTCAGAAAGATATCGAGCAGATTCCGTTCAAGGCACCTGCTCATGTGGACTATAAACCAGCTTCGACCACCACTTCGGAACCCGCTCAACAGCGCGCATATGTCTTTGGAAGATGGCGTCATGATGGTGACGAAGAGGTTGTTGAGAAGGACCGTGTCCGACCTGAAACGTATGGCATAGCGTCTACGTCATATAAAGGTCCTCTTGAATCCACTACACGTCATTCTGACTTGCCGACCGCACCCCTGCGGGATCACGCACAAGTGTACCATCACGGGCAGTCATGGGATGTATCCAAGGGAGCTAAAACTCCTACTGTTGCCACAACTGAAATCGAGCATGGCACGGGAAAGAAGGCTGTTCTGCATTTGAAAGGTACTCCTGTGAAGGATGTGCCGTCGCCGGCTGCCGAAGAGGAAACACCCAAAGTTCGATTGATAGCTCGAGTGCCACACAGCACATCGGAGGATGAGACAGACAGTTCTAAAGCAAGGAAAGACCATGAATCTTCTGGACTGTTCTCTTTCTGGAAATCGGGTGGCCGTAAACATCGTGGGGACTCGCAGGAGGGTTCTGAATATCCTCACCCTGGCAAATATACTGGTCCATTAGACGATGTGAATCGTCAGAAAGATATCGAGCAGATTCCGTTCAAGGCACCTGCTCATGTGGACTATAAACCAGCTTCGACCACCACTTCGGAACCCGCTCAACAGCGCGCATATGTCTTTGGAAGATGGCGTCATGATGGTGACGAAGAGGTTGTTGAGAAGGACCGTGTCCGACCTGAAACGTATGGCATAGCGTCTACGTCATATAAAGGTCCTCTTGAATCCACTACACGTCATTCTGACTTGCCGACCGCACCCCTGCGGGATCACGCACAAGTGTACCATCACGGGCAGTCATGGGATGTATCCAAGGGAGCTAAAACTCCTACTGTTGCCACAACTGAAATCGAGCATGGCACGGGAAAGAAGGCTGTTCTGCATTTGAAAGGTACTCCTGTGAAGGATGTGCCGTCGCCGGCTGCCGAAGAGGAAACACCCAAAGTTCGATTGATAGCTCGAGTGCCACACAGCACATCGGAGGATGAGACAGACAGTTCTAAAGCAAGGAAAGACCATGAATCTTCTGGACTGTTCTCTTTCTGGAAATCGGGTGGCCGTAAACATCGTGGGGACTCGCAGGAGGGTTCTGAATATCCTCACCCTGGCAAATATACTGGTCCATTAGACGATGTGAATCGTCAGAAAGATATCGAGCAGATTCCGTTCAAGGCACCTGCTCATGTGGACTATAAACCAGCTTCGACCACCACTTCGGAACCCGCTCAACAGCGCGCATATGTCTTTGGAAGATGGCGTCATGATGGTGACGAAGAGGTTGTTGAGAAGGACCGTGTCCGACCTGAAACGTATGGCATAGCGTCTACGTCATATAAAGGTCCTCTTGAATCCACTACACGTCATTCTGACTTGCCGACCGCACCCCTGCGGGATCACGCACAAGTGTACCATCACGGGCAGTCATGGGATGTATCCAAGGGAGCTAAAACTCCTACTGTTGCCACAACTGAAATCGAGCATGGCACGGGAAAGAAGGCTGTTCTGCATTTGAAAGGTACTCCTGTGAAGGATGTGCCGTCGCCGGCTGCCGAAGAGGAAACACCCAAAGTTCGATTGATAGCTCGAGTGCCACACAGCACATCGGAGGATGAGACAGACAGTTCTAAAGCAAGGAAAGACCATGAATCTTCTGGACTGTTCTCTTTCTGGAAATCGGGTGGCCGTAAACATCGTGGGGACTCGCAGGAGGGTTCTGAATATCCTCACCCTGGCAAATATACTGGTCCATTAGACGATGTGAATCGTCAGAAAGATATCGAGCAGATTCCGTTCAAGGCACCTGCTCATGTGGACTATAAACCAGCTTCGACCACCACTTCGGAACCCGCTCAACAGCGCGCATATGTCTTTGGAAGATGGCGTCATGATGGTGACGAAGAGGTTGTTGAGAAGGACCGTGTCCGACCTGAAACGTATGGCATAGCGTCTACGTCATATAAAGGTCCTCTTGAATCCACTACACGTCATTCTGACTTGCCGACCGCACCCCTGCGGGATCACGCACAAGTGTACCATCACGGGCAGTCATGGGATGTATCCAAGGGAGCTAAAACTCCTACTGTTGCCACAACTGAAATCGAGCATGGCACGGGAAAGAAGGCTGTTCTGCATTTGAAAGGTACTCCTGTGAAGGATGTGCCGTCGCCGGCTGCCGAAGAGGAAACACCCAAAGTTCGATTGATAGCTCGAGTGCCACACAGCACATCGGAGGATGAGACAGACAGTTCTAAAGCAAGGAAAGACCATGAATCTTCTGGACTGTTCTCTTTCTGGAAATCGGGTGGCCGTAAACATCGTGGGGACTCGCAGGAGGGTTCTGAATATCCTCACCCTGGCAAATATACTGGTCCATTAGACGATGTGAATCGTCAGAAAGATATCGAGCAGATTCCGTTCAAGGCACCTGCTCATGTGGACTATAAACCAGCTTCGACCACCACTTCGGAACCCGCTCAACAGCGCGCATATGTCTTTGGAAGATGGCGTCATGATGGTGACGAAGAGGTTGTTGAGAAGGACCGTGTCCGACCTGAAACGTATGGCATAGCGTCTACGTCATATAAAGGTCCTCTTGAATCCACTACACGTCATTCTGACTTGCCGACCGCACCCCTGCGGGATCACGCACAAGTGTACCATCACGGGCAGTCATGGGATGTATCCAAGGGAGCTAAAACTCCTACTGTTGCCACAACTGAAATCGAGCATGGCACGGGAAAGAAGGCTGTTCTGCATTTGAAAGGTACTCCTGTGAAGGATGTGCCGTCGCCGGCTGCCGAAGAGGAAACACCCAAAGTTCGATTGATAGCTCGAGTGCCACACAGCACATCGGAGGATGAGACAGACAGTTCTAAAGCAAGGAAAGACCATGAATCTTCTGGACTGTTCTCTTTCTGGAAATCGGGTGGCCGTAAACATCGTGGGGACTCGCAGGAGGGTTCTGAATATCCTCACCCTGGCAAATATACTGGTCCATTAGACGATGTGAATCGTCAGAAAGATATCGAGCAGATTCCGTTCAAGGCACCTGCTCATGTGGACTATAAACCAGCTTCGACCACCACTTCGGAACCCGCTCAACAGCGCGCATATGTCTTTGGAAGATGGCGTCATGATGGTGACGAAGAGGTTGTTGAGAAGGACCGTGTCCGACCTGAAACGTATGGCATAGCGTCTACGTCATATAAAGGTCCTCTTGAATCCACTACACGTCATTCTGACTTGCCGACCGCACCCCTGCGGGATCACGCACAAGTGTACCATCACGGGCAGTCATGGGATGTATCCAAGGGAGCTAAAACTCCTACTGTTGCCACAACTGAAATCGAGCATGGCACGGGAAAGAAGGCTGTTCTGCATTTGAAAGGTACTCCTGTGAAGGATGTGCCGTCGCCGGCTGCCGAAGAGGAAACACCCAAAGTTCGATTGATAGCTCGAGTGCCACACAGCACATCGGAGGATGAGACAGACAGTTCTAAAGCAAGGAAAGACCATGAATCTTCTGGACTGTTCTCTTTCTGGAAATCGGGTGGCCGTAAACATCGTGGGGACTCGCAGGAGGGTTCTGAATATCCTCACCCTGGCAAATATACTGGTCCATTAGACGATGTGAATCGTCAGAAAGATATCGAGCAGATTCCGTTCAAGGCACCTGCTCATGTGGACTATAAACCAGCTTCGACCACCACTTCGGAACCCGCTCAACAGCGCGCATATGTCTTTGGAAGATGGCGTCATGATGGTGACGAAGAGGTTGTTGAGAAGGACCGTGTCCGACCTGAAACGTATGGCATAGCGTCTACGTCATATAAAGGTCCTCTTGAATCCACTACACGTCATTCTGACTTGCCGACCGCACCCCTGCGGGATCACGCACAAGTGTACCATCACGGGCAGTCATGGGATGTATCCAAGGGAGCTAAAACTCCTACTGTTGCCACAACTGAAATCGAGCATGGCACGGGAAAGAAGGCTGTTCTGCATTTGAAAGGTACTCCTGTGAAGGATGTGCCGTCGCCGGCTGCCGAAGAGGAAACACCCAAAGTTCGATTGATAGCTCGAGTGCCACACAGCACATCGGAGGATGAGACAGACAGTTCTAAAGCAAGGAAAGACCATGAATCTTCTGGACTGTCTCTTTCTGGAAATCGGGTGGCCGTAAACATCGTGGGGACTCGCAGGAGGGTTCTGAATATCCTCACCCTGGCAAATATACTGGTCCATTAGACGATGTGAATCGTCAGAAAGATATCGAGCAGATTCCGTTCAAGGCACCTGCTCATGTGGACTATAAACCAGCTTCGACCACCACTTCGGAACCCGCTCAACAGCGCGCATATGTCTTTGGAAGATGGCGTCATGATGGTGACGAAGAGGTTGTTGAGAAGGACCGTGTCCGACCTGAAACGTATGGCATAGCGTCTACGTCATATAAAGGTCCTCTTGAATCCACTACACGTCATTCTGACTTGCCGACCGCACCCCTGCGGGATCACGCACAAGTGTACCATCACGGGCAGTCATGGGATGTATCCAAGGGAGCTAAAACTCCTACTGTTGCCACAACTGAAATCGAGCATGGCACGGGAAAGAAGGCTGTTCTGCATTTGAAAGGTACTCCTGTGAAGGATGTGCCGTCGCCGGCTGCCGAAGAGGAAACACCCAAAGTTCGATTGATAGCTCGAGTGCCACACAGCACATCGGAGGATGAGACAGACAGTTCTAAAGCAAGGAAAGACCATGAATCTTCTGGACTGTTCTCTTTCTGGAAATCGGGCTGGTGGCCGTAAACATCGTGGGGACTCGCAGGAGGGGAAGGCAAATGAAAAAGGGTTCTGAATATCCTCACCCTGGCAAATATACTGGTCCATTAGACGATGTGAATCGTCAGAAAGATATCGAGCAGATTCCGTTCAAGGCACCTGCTCATGTGGACTATAAACCAGCTTCGACCACCACTTCGGAACCCGCTCAACAGCGCGCATATGTCTTTGGAAGATGGCGTCATGATGGTGACGAAGAGGTTGTTGAGAAGGACCGTGTCCGACCTGAAACGTATGGCATAGCGTCTACGTCATATAAAGGTCCTCTTGAATCCACTACACGTCATTCTGACTTGCCGACCGCACCCCTGCGGGATCACGCACAAGTGTACCATCACGGGCAGTCATGGGATGTATCCAAGGGAGCTAAAACTCCTACTGTTGCCACAACTGAAATCGAGCATGGCACGGGAAAGAAGGCTGTTCTCGTTCTGCATTTGAAAGGTACTCCTGCTTTAAGCGATGGTGCTCCGCCTCGCGCGCTTTTGCTCGACCATGCCAGCGTACAACCCCACCCACAAAAAGTCTCGATGACATATGCCCTCGCACTGGCCCGACACAGCCCACATCGGAGGATGCCACGACAGACAGTTCTAACAAGGAAAGACCATGAATCCTTCGTGGACTGTTCTCTTTCTTGGTCCCCAATCGCGAAGTGCCCGTCTGGTGCTCGACTCCGTAACATTCGTCCGTGGGGACTCGCAGGAGGGTTCTGAATATCCTCACCCTGGCAAATATACTGGTCCATTAGACGATGTGAATCGTCAGAAAGATATCGAGCAGATTCCGTTCAAGGCACCTGCTCATGTGGACTATAAACCAGCTTCGACCACCACTTCGGAACCCGCTCAACAGCGCGCATATGTCTTTGGAAGATGGCGTCATGATGGTGACGAAGAGGTTGTTGAGAAGGACCGTGTCCGACCCTGGCACTATATACAACCATCCGCATATGTGCCGGATTACGAGCGTCTACGTCATATAAAGGTCCTCTTGAATCCACTACACGTCATTCTGACTTGCCGACCGCACCCCTGCGGGATCACGCACAAGTGTACCATCACGGGCAGTCATGGGATGTATCCAAGGGAGCTAAAACTCCTACTGTTGCCACAACTGAAATCGAGCATGGCACGGGAAAGAAGGCTGTTCTGCATTTGAAAGGTACTCCGTGAAGGATGTGTGCCGTCGGCCGGCTGCCGAAGAGGAAACACCCAAAGTT